TTCTGTCTTTCTTTTTGGCTATTCCTTCTTCTTTTCTTGCTTTTCTTTCTTTCTTTCTTTCTTTCTATTTCCTTCTGTCTTTCTTTTTGGCTATTCCTTCTTCTTTTCTTGCTTTTCTTTCTTTCTTTCTTTCTATTTCCTTCTGTCTTTCTTTTTGGCTATTCTTTCTTCTTTTCTTGCTTTTCTTTCTTTCTTTCTATTTCCTTCTGTCTTTCTTTTTGGCTATTCCTTCTTCTTTTCTTGCTTTTCTTTCTTTCTTTCTTTCTATTTCCTTCTGTCTTTCTTTTTGGCTATTCCTTCTTCTTTTCTTGTTTTTCTTTCTTTCTATCTTTCTATTTCCATCTGTCTTTCCTTTTGGCTTTTCCTTCTTTCTTCTTACTTTCTTTTTCGTTTCCTGCTTTATCTTATATTTTTTCTCTCCTTTTGGCTTTTCTTTCTTTTTTTTCTATCTTCTCTTGCTTTTCTTCCTTTCCTTCTCTCTTCCTTCCTTCCTTCCATACTTCCTTCCTTTCTTTCTTCCTTTCTTCCTTCCTTCCATTTCCTTCTTTCTTTTTGGTTTCTCTTTCTTTCTTTCTTTCTTTCTTTTTTATCTCTTCATTTTTGGCTTTTCTTTCTTGATTGCGTTTCGCCTTTTTTTCTTTCTTTCTTCTTTTCTTTTTTCGTTTTCGTTTTTGCTTTTTTTTTGCTTTTTTTCTTGTTTGCCTTTTTGTTTTTCGTCTATTTTCTTTTGCTACATTTACCTTAGTTTTTCTTTTCTTCGCTTTCTTTTTTTTCTTTCTTTTTATTTCTCTCTGTCTTTTTAGCTTTTTCTTCTTTCGTGTTTGATTTTTTTTCTTTCTTTCTCTCTTCTTTTCTTGTTTCTCTTTCTTTTTTTCTTTCTTCATTATTAGTTTTTTTTTCTTTCTTTCTGTTTTTTCTTTCTTTCTTTCTTTCTTTCTTTCTTTCTTCTTTCTTTCTTTCTAAACAGGGCTTATGAAGTAAATAGAGGAATAAACAAAGGAAAGCCACTAAAATCAAGTCAGGAAGAATAATTCCTTCTTTTGATTGATGTTTCTGGTCTCACTTTTAAAGAAATAGAAGAAACCGAAATCGAAACGAAACGAAAAAAAAAAAAAAAACGAAACGAAACGAAATAAAAAAACGAAATGAAACGAAAGCGAAGGTGTGCATATGATAGAAGATAAAAGAGAAGAACGCGGAGAAGGAAAGACAAGGGAAAGAAAACAGAAGGAAAGGATAAAAAAATATAATTCCAAACTTGGTTGACAGCGCCAGTAGTTCCTTCCTCCAAACGAACGTATACCTGTGAAGTTAAAAGCTTTTTATTTATTTATTTCGTTATTTTACTGTTAGTGTGTGTCTGTAGAAAGAACAGACTCGCAAAGTGGAAAAAAGTAGACAGCCTTTTACAAAGTAGACAAGCGCTCCAAAAAGGAGAGGAACTTCTTTCAACTTCTGTAATTCTTTTTGCAGCTTCTTCCTCTTCCTCTTCTTCTTCTTTTTCTTCTTCTTCTTCTTCTTCTTATTATTATTATTATTATTGCTACTACTACTACTACTGTTTCCAGTTTGCCAGATTTCAATCCTTTAACCAAGTTATTTTATCTGAGACCTGAAGTTTTTTCTATAGTAACTTACTGAGCATATCACCTTGAAAGAGTTTTTCTGAGTATCTGAACAGCCTCCATGAACACAATTTTTTGATAGCGATGGATTTCCTGAGAATTTCATAATGCGTGTATCAGTATATCTTTTTCATTCCTAGTGCCCTTAGTATTAATGGAGAACTATTAATGGTTATAATAATAATATTAATAATAATAATAATAATAATAATAATTTCTTCTCTCGCACTTCTCGCTTGTGGAACTTTCTCCCGGCTTCATGCTTTCCAGTCAACTTTAGATCAACGTCGACTGGAAAACAATAAGCCGGAAGCGAGTTCCACAACTGAGAAGTATGATAGAAGAAACTGTTAGCATATAACTTACGGTTACATCTCGCCATTTCAGCTGTAAAATGATGAGACCTAGCTGCCAATCCAGTACTGCGCTTAAATTCATAAAGTCTAGGTACCATAAAAGAAAGATCATCGGAACAATTATCATGAAAGTATTTATAGAAAAGGCACAGGGAAGCTACATTACGGCGATGGGAAAGTGACTGATGTTGAGATGCCAGGTCAGGACCAATAACGTTGAAGATTCTTTGTATGTTATTAGAAATCTCTACATACATAGCAGAAGCACCGGATCAGATGTAACAACAATGTTCAAAGCATGGACAGATGGACTGCAAAAATAAAATCCATTAATTTCTTAGAAATTACTTGGTTTTAAGTTTCCAATATGAAATTAAAAGTTAGCATTCTTAGTTTGTTATGCTCTTCGAGGGATCCAAAGAAGAAATGTACATTAATTAAATTGGGTATCTGAATCTTGCTTAGGTGGGAAAGGTTTACGTCACTGAGCACACCATGCCTGACAGTAGTTTCCCTTATATGAGAGACGCAGATTTGGACGCTGCTAGGAGGCGCATGTTCTTTAGTAAGACTCTCGAGTACACAGACCGATAGAGGTAAATTTACACTTGAAAAAGCGGATGTCTCCTCAAACCCGTGTATCTACTAAATATCACGACTAAAGTAAAAAGAAAAATATGTTGTTCGTAAAATAATATTCGATTTTAGAATAAATCTTTTGTCTTCGAAAATATTATTATAATCTTATATATAAAGTACAGTGTATATGTGTGCGATTGTGCATGTGTGTGTCCATGCAGCTCCTCAGCTCCCACTGGTCAGTTTTCAATAATTCATCGCTCATTCAAAAGCCTTGGAAAAGTTAGACGCATGGAACGATTTTCGTCAGATTCAGGGTTGCTAGATTATGCGGGATTAAATATATATATTAATACATTATACTAGTCATTATCGTTTCTTACATGATTCAAGGGGAGTAACTCTTCCCTTCTGTATTTGCAGTGCACGTTTTATTATAAACTAGCTTAAAAGCCGCCCTATCTGGTGGCATTTAAGCTAGTTTCTGTTGAGGAATCTTTGTTTGGCCTTCATCACAATAGCTAGGGAGGAGTAGATGCGATAGGCATCAATAAACTACAGAAGAACTCAAAATTGATCGTTGCATGTAAGTATTGAATTAATGTTTAAGCTTACCTTTTAAAAGTTCAACGATAAATCTTCTGCTGCCACTTAATTTAAAGACGATTTGATGTACGTAGATTCTTATTTTCCGTACAATTATTTTTATTTCATGGGTGACAAAACAGGAGATAATTTAAAAGATAAAATTAATATAGTGTAAAAATGGGAAAGTAAAATTAGAATTAGTTATACATTCAACATTTGAAGAATTAGAGAAACACAACAACTAATTAAGTAAAACCTATATTATGGAATCTATATGAATAAATGCGAAATTGGAGCTCAATTCTCCCAGCAATTCGGAGATTAAAAAAAAAAACAACAGCTCTACTTTATAGTAACTGACACGCTCAAAGCTCAATACCTGTATTATATATTATCTACTTCTAGGCAATATCACTCTTCGGGTTTGACTAATTTGCATTTTGATTTTAACAAAGTTTATTTCATTAATTAACTGTCCTTCATTACTGTTCTTTTATTCGAGGATTGTTTTGATTTTCATATACAAAATAGTTCTGTTTAGGAATATCGTCTTATATAGCGCAGAAAAGTGTTTGAAATTTGCATTTTACTTGGCCTTCAACAAGTTGACATCTCTTTGTAAAACTTTCCTTAAATATAACAAGCCAATTTATGAATGAAATGTTCAATTAAAATTTTTGTTTCAGTGATTTCAATTATAGAATATATCTTATTTTACGAAGTGATAGCGAGTGGGTGAAGCCTGCTAGTAGCTCTATAAAAATATGTCACTCATTCTTAATTATGAAAGTGTCCTCTTTGTTGATCTTATATTAATCTCTTCCAGAATTTAACTTATAAATATTATATAGCCCTCACCTTGAAAACAAAAAGAAATTTGTTTAATTCTTTTGATTGAGTTCACGTTTGGCCATAATACTTATCAAACTGTTGCCAACATTAACAGATAATCGGCTTGAGATCGGAGAATACGGCGCTGGTTTCTGGAGTTCCGCAGTGGGAATACGACTCTTGAAACTCAAGGTGGTAGAGGACGTCGATCTGCAATTGACAATCAATATCTGAAAACAATAGTCGAACAAAACCCACGTCGTAGTGCCAGAGAAATGTTTCGGATAATGGGTGTCAGCATTTCAAGAACATCGGACTATTTCAAGAAACATTGGCAAGGTAAAGAATCACGATAAATAGGTTCCATATGAACTCAGGAAAAGTCAAAGAGTTCGTCATTTTGAAGTTTTCCATGCTGCATCAGCGAAATTTGAATGATCAATTTCTTGATGGAATAGTGACTTGCGGCGAAAAATAAATTCTTTATGACAATTCTAAACGATCGGCTCAAGAGCTTGATCATGACAATGTGCCCAAACACGTTCCAAAACAGAAATTGCACCAACACAAGATTATCGTGACTGTCTGGTGGGTCGCCATTGGCGTTACAGCTTTTTGGAATCTAACCAAAAGAATATTATTTTCGAAGTTATCTACCATTTTTCAGTACTGGATGAAATACACATTCAGTTAAGAAAAATGCGATCGGCACAAGGTAATCAACAAAGTCCAATTCTGCTTCATAATAAGACTCAGCCAAATATTGCCAGTATGACACTGCAGAAACTCACTGACTTGGGATACGAGACTTTGCTCCGTCAACCATATTTCCCTGATTTATCATCCACTGACGACCATTTTTTCAAGCCTCTCGATATCTTTTTAATCCAAAAGACATTTTGTTGCAAAGAAGACGTAGAACTTGCGTTCAAAGAATTTATGGCGTTCAAACCTTTGATCGTAAAGGTATAAATAAACTTTTAATTCGATGGCGGAAGTCCATAAATATTCAACGTTCCTATGGACATATCGTGTTGAAACATCAGTTGCCGTACGATCATTGAAGTTAAGCAATGTTGCGCTTAGTCAGAACCAATATGGGTGATTACTTGGGAATACCAGGTGCTGTAAACTTGGATGTGTGGGGGGAGACATAGATAATGACTCAGAATTAAAAATCAGAGAGTCGAGTTCCAATTTGAGTTGGGTTCGTTATATTCATTAAAACAGACAAATAAACTTTGGAAAGGTATGAATCCACCTTTTTTTTGTAGATTCATACAATCTAAAAGGATTTTCTAGCTTGAAATAACCTCACAAATATTGAAAAACCGCAAAAAATGTATTACCACTGGGATGTTCTGGTGGTGCAATGGATAACGACTTAGTTCGAATTCCAGTCGGTCAAATACCTGAGAGAAAGGTATGAATCCACTTATCCCCAAGCTATAGATTAAATAGTAGGAATTGTATTGGGAAAAATGATTGTTTATTTTTTGTTGTTTTTTTTTTGTTGTTTTTCGTATTTTAGAATAAAAAAATATTCAGTCGCAGAAAAAAAAGAAATATCGTTATAATACAAAATATATTTCTGATTTAAAAAGAGTTGATAAGCAGTAAAAAAAGGATATATATATATATATATATATATATATATATATATATATATATATATATATATATGAAATGTATAAAACAAAATAAATAACAGGCAAGTCAAACTGGTTAAAATAAATAACAGGCAAGTCAAACTGGTCAAAATAAATAACAGGCATGTCAAACTAGTCAAAATAAATAACAGGCAAGTCAAGCTAGTCAAAATAAATAACAGACATGTCTAACTGGTTAAAATAAATAACAGGCAAGTCAAACTGGTCAAAATAAATAACAGGCAAGTCAAACTGGTCAAAATAAATAACAGGCATGTCAAACTGGTCAAAATATATAACAGGCAAGTCAAACTGATTAAAATAAATAACAGGCAACTCAAATTGAACGAGTTTTCTATTTTTAAGTCAGTTGATTTGAAAGTAAAATTAACTGAATAAAAATTTTTCAGGGTGCGCTTTTCATTTTGGCTTCATGTAATTCTTACTCTAGGCAATAAATTATTTACGCAATTAATGTTAGATAAGCAATTAATTGCATTTTTTTTTATTATTTGGTCTCCACATTTTGTAAACAACTTTAGTATTTTGGATATGAATTTTTATTATTAAAAAACGACAAAAAAGAAACAGTGACAAGGAATTTTAATCAAAATATGTTTGTGATTTTTCTTCTTGCCTTGCAAGTTTATATTGAAAACGAGATATTTATTGATATTACGTAGGAACGGTATATTAAATTCAGAAAATATGAAAACACATTTACTCAAAAATATGCAATAATATATATATAAATATATATATATATATATATATATATGTAATGTGTGTTCGTGTCGTTGTTACACTACATACAGGAATGCGTGTGCATGCATGTATATAATAATGTTTATATTTATGCATATGCCTGTGAATGTATGTGTTTGCATATGTACACTGCAGTTTAAAAGTTTAAAGCCACCTCCCAGAATTTGTGTGGGGTGAACTTGACAGAACAGTGAAAAATAAAATGTAAAAGATCTCTTAGAGTCATTGAAAAAAGAATGGAATCAATTATCAAACTTATTCTTTGAGAAACTTTTGCAACAAATGCCAAAAGTTTGTGCTGCAGTAATCAAGGCTAAAGGAGGATATTTTGACAAGAGCAAAATTTAATCATAAAATACTTTTTATCTTTTTGTTATAATAAGATTTCTAATAAAATATCATGTCTCGCTGTTTTTAGCCATGTATAATAATTTTCTCTTATTTAATGTACAAATCTTTTGGGCCAATTTAAAAAAAAAACTGCCAGAGGTTGCCTCAAACGTTTTAACTGTAGTGTATGCGTGCGTATATGTCTGTGAAGGCAGGTTTGATTTTGTACGTGCGTATGTATATGCGTGTGTGTAATATGATTTTGATAGACTTGTGCTTATTTATTAAATCTATACTTAGATATGTATCTTCCTTTCTCTCTATATCTCTCTAAATTTTATCTCTACTTACACACGCGCATTGGATTAGCAAAAGATGCCTTTCAAACGCTAAACAAATTACTAAGAAATAGGAAAAATTCGTGAGAAGCCAAGAAAAGAGTGCTGAACTACAATGTGATATCAACCAGTGAATGCCGAACAATCGCCCCAGTAATGAAGTGAAAAGTGGCGGTTCTCCAGACGGATTCCGAGAATTTCGTGGACGGAGCGAGTAAGCAAAGAGGAAGTGAAAAAGTCTTTAAAATGCCAACAACAAGAACCAGAAAGAGACAGCTGAAGGTTCTTGGACTTATAATGAGGAAAGAGGGCTTAGAGAACATGAACCTCACAGGGAATATCGCGGGCACAAAAATAACGGAAGGCAGAAGGCAAACGACCTAACGAGCTTGTGTGATGGATTAGTGAGACGCTAAGGCTCATAAAGTATAGGAAGTAGTGGAGAACCATGAACGCACACACACTGAAGGGAAGCGGCACATAGAAGGAAATTTCTCACTCTATTTGCCTTTCCATATATAGAGAGAGGAGAAGGAAGAGGAGAGAGAA